AAATGCTGTAAAGAAGACTATCTACATTCTTTGGTCATGTCACGAGAAGGAGAAAACTGGAGTACACAGCTACTGTGGGTTCAAGGGGAAAAGATGCAGAAGGAGACCGAGACATTAAACGCTAGAAAGCTGACATCATCGGATAAAAGAGCCGTGGTGTCAGAACTGATTGAAAAATAAACAAGTCAGAACGCTGTGGAAAGACATGACTACTAACACCCCACGACATGGACTATAAGATGGTTGTGGATAAACAGGATGGTTGTGAACAAACATGATTATCAACGCTACAAGACATGGACCACAAAAAGGTTGTGGATAGACATGATTATCAACGTCACAAGATATGGACCAGGGGAAGAAATGCTGCAATTAAGACTACAGAGTTCAGAAACAAATGTTACCTACGGAGTTTGAGTACTCACAAATGGCGGGACAAGCTTTCCTTCCATGTACATGACATTTCCAGGCCGGGTTCTCAGCCGAGCTGCTAGCTGTCCGTAAAATTATGGAACATCATTACTGTCAACATTTAAATGTGGTCAATGATGCTATACATTTAGATGAATTTAAGACAAGATTGACTGAAATGGTCTGGCCATTTCATCGTAATGAATCCAATGATGCCAGCAACGAGAGCGTACAGCATAAAAGAAACACCAAGAGATTTGGCACGACCAAGAAGAACATGGACTCAAGAAGTCACGGTGCTTTATTAATATCCTACCCCAGATGACGTCACAGTACAGTATAACAGTTTAGAGGGTGGTAAGATTCTGTTTCTCGGCTTTCTGATGCCTTTTAACGATCCCAAAACACATAGAACTGGCCCTAAACGCAACCCACCTACGTCCCACGAGAGAATACAGCCTAGGTCCCAAGACTGCATGCAGCCTAGGCCCCACGACTGTCCCGTGACCGGCCAACCGAGCGTGACCTAGTCTGAATACCCATCATCTGATATCCTGAGGCTTAGCGACACAAAGCAGAATATCCATTTTAAAAGAAAGAAAGAAGAAAGAAAGAAAGAAAGAAAGAAAGAAAGAAAGAAAGAAAGAAAGAAAGAAAGAAAGAAAGAAAGAAAGAAAGAAAGAAAGAAAGAAAGAAAGAAAGAAAGAAAGAAAGAAAGAAAGAAAGAAAGAAAGAAAGAAAGAAAGAATCTAAGAAAGGCGAAGAAATTGAAGACATGTCCGGACAAACGTTAGTATCAACAGTTTTAAAGGAAATAAGATGGCAATATAATACATAATATACTTGGCACGTTCTGAGGAGAAGCTCTCCGTGGCGATGTGGCCAAGCCGTTTGCCAGAGCTACGAAGGTCGTGCTTTGTGCGATGCTCTTGGCTGGCAGCTGGCTGTTCTGAGGATAGAGACTGAGCCATATGGGATAAAACCCGGTGCAATGAAGTCAGTCCTCTCACCTTTACCTTTACCTTTCAGGAGATGTGGGCAAAGAATAACCAAAACAGGCAATGATATGAGAAACCAAGGAATTTAGGAAAGGAGGACATCCAAGAAAACCACGCAAAGGACTTTGATGACACGGATTTGATTCTGTCCATGTTGTAGAAGCCACAAGCATAAAAAGGAATGCAGAGAAAGACTGCGAGCCTTATGTAACTTTAGTTCAGTTCTGTGCCCCGCCCTCATTGTCCTATACTCTTCCGGGCAGGTATTGGTCTTGTAAGTTATCTCCGGACTCACCAACATAAAACTGCAGTTTCATGACGGATGACAGAAAGAGCGGTCCTCATCACTTGTGATGGACGAACGAACTGAACAGTAACTTTTACACAGCAAAAGAGGATGATGTTGATAAGGACAACAATGGTGAAGAATAAAATCATGTGTATGTTTTAGAATACGCCAAGATTGCTCAGTCTCATCTACATACATTAACAATGTCACAATATACACAAAAACATAATTATAAAAGCAAACATTTTCTCTAGGCATTGAAGTCAAAACAGTCACTATCATCAAGCGCCATGTCAGCATTGAAGATCTGCTATAATGAGTCTCTAACACTGGTTGACTCACGTCTTCACGGTGAACGTATACAAGCTTCCTTCAGTCCACGTTTCCATGTCAACTTCTTCTAATGTTAATTCCTCAATCAAACATATGCACCCAACAAGCTCTCGCCAACCCTTCGTAACCGTCATGTAGCAGGTATTTTTTAGTATGTCACTCTCATCACTGTTTGCCCCCCCCCCCCCCCCCCAAAGCACCCAAAAAAAAAAAATTTGGTCTCTCGCCAGCTCTCCCATCTCGTACACTTTCCTATGCAAGGTGTCACTAATATTCTGTTCCGGTTCCTGCATTGGTAGGGAATGGATGATGGTTGGGAACTTGGATTATGTTGACCGTTCTCGTCGCCGTTTCTTCTCCAGTTTCGATTTTGCAAGATTGTGGAAGTCCGGTTTGCAGCCGGAGCTACTGAGTTTAATGTTCCTGGCGGCACTATGAGCTGTGATTATCGGTTATTGACTGAGTCCAAGATTCGCTCATTATGGCAATGATGGGTGATGTATTTTTCTTTGTTGTGTTCCTGGGACAAGGCGTGTTCTATAACTGCTATTTATTTGCTGGCCGTGGCTGCAACTTGGACGGGGACATGTGCAGGATGGTCAGGAATAGTTTTAATCTACTTATGGCCCAGCTATTCGTCGAATGATTTTAAGCGATGACGCCTGGTCTCGCAGTGTGTTTAAGGAGGCATGCACCTTATGGTTTGCCAGATCAAATTGTGTGTGTGTTTTGCTGACTGAGGACACTTTGTATGGCTACGGCATTCACTTGAAGTATCCAGAGTATCTGACTCAGTTTGTGACTGGAATCATTGGCATAGGCGGTTTAGCAATTTTGGGCCAAGCTCGTTTGCTATTATGCCGTAACCGTAACGACTAACTAACTAACTAATATTCTGTGCTCATCTTTATGTTGGTCGGCCAATGCCCTCTTACCTGTTACCATGCTTTCTGTCTTTTTTTTTAAATTTTCCACCCCCCCCCCCCCCCCCTTGGCGCTTGATGTGGCCAAGAGAAGCTGTTTACTAGCCAGGTTTTTTAGAATGCCAGTATTTCTGTTCTTCTATTCTGGGAATCTTTCCATGTCATTTCAGCGCAAAAACTCTTTTTTCTTTTCCACAGACTGCGAGATGGTCCACAACTCACATCCATACATTGTTACCGAAGAGAAGCATGCTATCAGAATTTTGACTGATTGTTTGGCTGGTGCTTAACTACAGACTTTTAATGCTGTTTAATCTCTACATTGCCATCCTTTTTTGACTTCTGTTGAACAGTTGTTATATTCAAAGTTTGTGATAGTTTTTTTTTTTTAGGCGACAGGCACAGTTGTGGATATATTAAAAAAAAAAAAAAAAAAATTCCTTAACACGTTTGATTTTCACTGTGTCTTTTGACAGATATGATTAAATGTTATATTCTCCTGACACCGTTCGAAAGGAGTTTAACTCTTCAGTATCACAGTTCTTCGTGATAACTGAATTTTGCTGCAAATCAATATCTTCGACAGTGTGAGGTAATCATTTTGGCTACCCATTTCTAAGTCGCCTCTTACGCATGCATTGTACATACCTATTGGTCCCTCCCACCAGCGATTCCTAACCTATTATGAGTCGCTAACCCACTTTATAGAGATTAAGAGTCCCGTGACACCAAACATTAAAGATAAACTATGAAAGTATAGTAAATAAAAATACAGTAACAGAAAAATCAGAGTTTTCGTGCAAGACGAGATAAAGTGATTTTTGCTTTCCTTAAAAAAAAAAAAAAAAAACCTGCATCAGTTACTACTATCCGCTTCGCAACCCCAAATAGGATCACGACCAGCTTGTTGGGAACGGCGATTAACAGTTTAAAATATTAAAATGCACCAAGCTCAGATCTACCACTCCCCGCTGCTGAACATGGTATCCAGCCCATACTGAGAGGAAAAGAAAGACGGATATAATCAGACTCTTTACTATACTATCAGAAATAACAACTACACTGGCTGCTGAAGACGGGGACGAAGCGTTTACAGTAATGTCCTGAGTGCTGCTGCTATGTCGGCTTTAAACTCAGCTCTCTTTATTGCCACCAGTATCTTTCAGCTTATCTCTATGAGTCTATCAAACTAATATTTTTATGGGACATCCAGAAAGTTAGTTGCGTATCCTTTACAGGACGTTGCATAACCAACCCTAACAGCCCCTGGCTGTTGTGTGGTTTCTCTAGGCAATATACGTCCAGTAGTTTGCCATTGCTTTCTGGACGGTCGGCTTTCTTGATACCGCTGTCGAAACCAACGCAAGGCGCAGTGCCCGCAGCTGGGATCGAACCTGGCATCCCGGCATTACGAAGCGAAGCGTTCGCATCGACTTAGCCACAGAGCCGACTTATAGAACATAATACATCCAATTTACTTACCTACGCTCTTTATTCATAAGCTTTCCTGCGGTAGAAAATAACATCGGAACAACAATATTGTCACTGGTGTCTATCAGCTCCTCTCAGTGCGTCTATTCAAACAAATAAACATGGGGACCCTAATACATCATTCTTACTTACATAGGGTTTTTGATCGTAAGCTTTTCCCTTGTAGAAAATGACATTGGAACAACAGTATTACCACCAGTGTCTTTCAGCCCAATTCTATACGTCTATTTAACAAATATACAAGTGGGACGTAATTCATCAAGCTTACTTACATACGGTTTTTGATCATAAGCTTTCCCGTTGTAGAAAACGACATCGGAACGACAGTAGCAAGGGTCGTTGATGCAGCAGCCTTCTATGACGTTGGAAATGGGGAGTCCATTCATAACGTACGGACTCCTCCCATGGATGAAATCTCGCTGTGGTATAGATAAAACAGATTTCTCTGTCAGTGCAGTAGTTAGTAACAGTAGAGGGCCCTTTTAACGACAGTTTGCGCATCTGGTGTAAGATTAATTCAATCACTGTCCTATTTTGCCATTATTTTCTTAGTACCTTTTTTTCCCATTTTAATGTTTGTTTTGATAAATATCTGCTGGTTTCTTCTCATGATGTGTCCGATGTAGTGCCATCTTCTCTGTCTTATAACTGTTAATAATAATGATTGCCCATATATTTCTCTTATTTTTCGCTCCTTTAGAATTCATTTAATTTTATTTTCACCATTTTCGTAAGATATGTGTTTTCAAATGCTATCAACTTGTTTCCCAAGTCTTTAGTGTTCTTCCGATTTCCAATTGCATATGTTAAAAAAAAAAAAAAGTTACAATTGAAAATACGTAACTTAGTTTGAAAAGTATGCAATTTAGAACTCAATATTTTGTTCAAGTTAATAAAAGCTATTGATGCCTTGCTAATGCATGTCATAATTTCTTTCTTGTATTTTGTTACTATGAAAATTACTGCCTCGATAAGTTAATTTATCGGTTTCTTTATTAACTTTTGTCTCTAGTGTTGCATCTGCTTGATTTGTTGTTATTAGTGTCTTCAATATATTTGTCTTTTCATAACTATTTGTAGTCCAACCCCTGTTGTTATATTTGCTAAATCCTGTGAGCTTCTTTGCATGTCACTGCTTTGTTTTACTTCTTCTCAAAGTCCATGCCGTGTGGCGATGGTAGTCATGTCCATCCACAAACTTCTGTCTTGTGTACTTTCAATTAACTCTGATACAGACGATCTTCGCGAAAGGAAGACCGAGAAAGAAATGTATAAATAGTTTAGCTAAAACCTGCAAACAAAAAGATGAACAAATCCAGCATCCAAACCACCCGAGAAGCGCAAGACAAATACTGAAAACCACGACACTGGGCTACAATCTGGTATCAGTGAGACGACAAAACCATGACACTGGGCTACATCCTGGTATCAGTGAGGCCAAAAAACCATGACACTGGGCTACAACCTTGTATCAGTGAGACGACAAAACCACGACACTGGGCTACAATCTGGTATCGGGGAGACGACAAAACCACGACAATGGGCTACAACTTGGTATCGATGAGACGACAAAACCACGACACTGGGCTACAATCTGGTATCAGTGAGACGACAAAACCATGACACTGGGCTACATCCTGGTATCAGTGAGGCCACAAAACGACGACACTGGGCTACAACCTTGTATCGGTGAGAGGACAAAACTACGACACTGGGCTACAATCTGGTATCAGTGAGACGACAAAACCACGACACTAAGCTACAACCTGGTATCAGTGAGACGACAAAACCACGACACTGGGCTACAACCTTGTATCGGCGAGACGACAAAACGACGACACTGGACTACAATCTGATATCAGTGAGACGACAAAACCATGACACTGGGCTACAGCCTGGTATCAGTGAGACGACAAAACCACGACACTAGACTACAACCTTGTATCGGTGAGACGACAAAACCACGACACTGAGCTACAACCTGGTATTGGTGAGACGAAAGAAGAAGATGCAGATTTCACATATGCTATTTTCGAACACAAAATTGTTAGCCACTATTGGGGATTGAACCGGCAACACGGCCAACGTTTGTAATCGCCATATATATAGCTTACATGTCAAACAAGTCACAATTGGGAAATGTCCCTGGCAATGGGTTTTGTTTCTGTAACCTGTGTCCAGGGTCCGAAACTTAAAATAGTTTCCATGCCGTTTTAATGTTTGAATCAACTCTTTTGTCTCAATTATTTTCCAGTCGAAGTGGGCAGTTTTTATCTTATCAGATCCCATGACAGTTACCATAGCAACTGACGTTATTACTGTCCCTTTTATCATAACTCTGTGTAAGTGTTCCGTTTTGATTTTTGTATTTTTCCTCTCGAGTAACTATTTTACCTCACTTTCTACTATTTCTTTTCTCATCAATCGTTTTTTTTTTTTTTACATCAAGTGCTGTAGCTGCATTTCCTTCTTTGAACGTTTCAGATATTTCCCCAGCTCTTCCACTTTCGTTTTTTTAATTGTAGTAAAGGGAGCCATGCTAAAAATTTAAAAAAAATAAAAAAAAAAATAAAAAAAGTATGTATTTAAAAAAAAACATTTAAAAAAAAAAAAAAAAAAAAAGCTCGTCAATTTGATATTAGTCACATCGCCCCATAAGTGCTCGACTGGCCTATAAACATATGGGTCTAGTGTAATATGCTTGATGTGCGAATGGCGTACGGAACGACATAACCTGTGCAACTACTTTGACGGTATAGCTAGAATTCAGTAAAGAACCTTGGGCTTCTTTCATTAAACGTTCGTTCTGGGTTTTCTCTTAGACATCATCCTTTTATTTTCCATTGCAGTGTCTGTCTGGTGATTCTCTGTTCTCTTATTCTCAGGATGTGCCCGATATAACACCATCTTCTTCGTAGTACTAGTATTAGTACATTTTACCCCACTAGTACATCACACAAGCAACAAACACTCGATGACACAAAGTGCCACTGTGCGGATGAGGATCACCCGTGGAGAGGTCTCAGAAACCGCGTTCAGCCATTAGGCTATATTCATGACCGGGCTATATTGTGGCTCCTGGCAAGAGCCAGGGTGGGGCTTCAAAATAATGAAATATTGCATCTTACAACGGGATGACAATTACAGCAATGACACCACCCATTACGCCTTATAAGTGCTGATACCGGTGGTTGCCCAGACATTGATTTCTTAATTAACCAATCTTGAATTCACACATTTACCAGAATGTCTCCATTCTGTAGCAAATTAACCGGAGGATATTTAGGTATTTGTATCGTCGTTTTTCAATCAGCAGAACAAAAATATATCATGGTGTTCACTTTAGGGATTTTAAATAGAAAATTAATAAATAGATAAAAGAACAACTAACTCACAGTTTGCGAGCTATCTCTGCCTTGACCTCTTCAAGGCAGAGGTCAGGGTTGATGCCGCAACGTGAGAAGTACCAGCGATACCCGTTTGTTGTAGGCGTAATAAAACTCATATTTTCTATATTTCGTCTCATTCTTCTACAGGTCAGCCCTTTATTCTGCAATTGGGCAAGTGATATATCACACTACGTAAGCGAAGGAATTAAGATATAGGACTGACATTCACGGACACCCATTAACTAATTTAAAAAAAAATTAAATGATGATGAAGATGACAATAATGATGTTGTTGGCTATGACGATGATGATGATGACGATGATGATGATGACGACGACCTGCCAACTCTGATAATGACTACAAAACGGTCGACTACTGTGATAAAAATGACAGGTAGTAGAGGTATTGGAAAGAGTAGTTATTAAAACGGGTTTCTCAATGCTCAGAAACGGTTCGTTGCCGGCCTTTTCTCGCATGACCTCATTTATCTCTTCCTGTCACTTCTGTAGCCCCCTCTCGGACATTTCATTTACATGTTTACCGGGAAGGCTAACCCTGTCAACAAATGCCTGCAGAAGTCGGATGTTTTGGCCGAAATGTGCAATTATCGCAGCCATGATGTAAACGGACACAACGAAATTACATCTTCGGATGAACGCAGAAGAAGAAGAAGATTTACATGTTTACTAATTTTCTTATATGGATTGTTTGGCTGTCCGTGTCTGGTACTTGTAACATATGGGTGCAATGCCAGACGTGGTCATTCACAACAAAACATACAGGAAAATTAGTAGAAATGGAAATGAGATGTATGAGAAGGATTGCGGGAGCGACCAGAAAAAATACAGCTAGGAATGAGGCCATGAGAGATCAAGTCGGCAGAGAACAAAGTCGAAATTACAGACAAAGACAGAAAATCTAATGGTTTGCCCACTTAAAAAGAATACCTTGTGACGTCATACCATATGCAAGGCATTCGGGGCAACTAAAACAGTTACCAAATGACTACAAAAATTTTATTAACTCGTGCCTACGCAGAATATAGGGAGTTAAATTGTATGATAGAATTAATAATGTAGAGCTTTGAGAGAGAACTAAGCAAAATCACGTGAATCGAAAGTTGAAGGAAAGACGCTGGCGTTGGATAGGACACATGTTGGGAAAACCAGTGAACACTAAAACTAGAAGGGTTTTAGACTGTTAAACTTCAGGGGCATAGAAAGAAAGGCATACCCGCAATAATAACTAAACATCACACACACACACACATATATATATACACACACAAATACACACACATACACACACATACATATACACACACACTCACACACACATACACACACATACACACACATACATATACACACACACTCACACACACATACACAAACGTACACACACACATACACACACATAAACACACACATACACACATACACACACATACACACACATACGCACACATAAACACACACACACATACACTCACATACACACACACATATACTCACCATACACACACATAAGCACACACACACACACACACATACACTCACACACATACATACATACACACACACATACACACACATAAACACACATACACACACACACATGGAGAAGAGAACTAGAAAGTAAAGTTAAAAAAAAAAAAAAAAATAAGATGGCAAGGACATAGGTTGAGCTCCATAGCAACGGATGGACCGACTTGGGGCTAGCGGGTTCAGGGCTTATCCATTGGGAGGAAGGACAGAGGAAGGCACTGGCATATGTTGCTTGACCCATATTTGTTTTATAGACTGAACAGCACGCGATGGCAGATCATCAGCGACCGAGTCGCTCATTGGCTCGCCGGTAGACGAATTCGTTCCCAGTATTTGGATCTGTCTCCTCTGATTGCATCAACACTGCCGGAGTCCTTTTCAGTGCTCTTGGGGGCGTGCGATGCTAAGCCATTTTATGTGGCGCACATAACCTAGACACAGTTATAACC